ATTTTCTAAAAAAGTACAAGTGGCATCTGTTGGAACAAAAGGTGGCTTAATTGATAGTGGCTTTCACTGAACTTTGACTTCCAAACACAAAGAGATCACCAAGGTTTTTGAGGAGTGCCAAAGGTACAGAAGTGGATTTAGGACATAGCATGATAGACAGCTGCTGCAATGAAGGAATGAGAGATTCTGCATTCTGTGCTTGATAAAAGATTTCCATGAAAACTGTCATTTTAAAATAGAAATTAGTATCTTGTTTTAGTTTTATGAACAATTTTGTTTAGGAGATCAGGAGAGAAAATGAGAAAAGATATTTTAGTCTACTCATCTGTGTTTTACTGGGTAGGTTTTGTTTGTTTGTTTGTTTTTTTTACACTGGACCCCCCTTTCCTCCATGATACCTTGGATATAATAAGAAAGTTCCTGCGTTCCTGAAGTGATTAGTTTTAGTTCCTATTAGCATTTAGTTCCTATGAAAAACTGCCACTGGACATGCACGTTTAAATTCTTTGTTTCCATTGGAAAGTCCTGCTACTTGTCATTATAGCTTTTCGTGGGCAGAAGTGTGAAACAAGAAAATGAAACAAAATAAACATTTTCAAGCAAGCACAACCTCTTTCAAGTCTTCACTGCAAAATATTACCTTTTCTATTTGAAAATTGTTGTTCTGGCAACAACCTGGTATTATTTTTCTCCTGGCTATGACACAAGGACAGAAAGTCCTTGTACAGGTCAGGAATCCACTGTACAGCCAAAGGACTTGAGTACTTAACAGTCTTATTTAATGGGATCTTTTAGTAAAGCAGATAATGTATCAAATACAGAATGCCCAGAGATGCAGATGCATGACTTTATGATTTTTCCATGTATTGTGTTTCCTTGAAGAAGGTTTTCAGTTCATCTGTACCTTTTGTTTCTAGATTAGTTGACAACAGTTGTGTCAGCTGACGTACTCTTCTGCAATCACTTTTATGGTCTTGGATAAAGACACTGAAGGACAAAGCATTTTTATGATTTTTAATGCCATATAGGTAGCCAAACTGTGCAGACAGAAAAAGATAGAACCATTACAATTAATAATATCTTTCTACAGTCTCTATCTAAATTCTGACATCAGATTTTCAGTCAGATTTTTGGGTGGAGGAGTTTCAAACTTCATTGCAATACTCTGTTCCCAAGATTAACAAAAATTTTATTTCCTAGATAGTATTTTCTGGTTGAAATGTTAAGTATGACTTCCAAATGGGATAATCCTACACTTAAGCAGTATTAAAAACAAACAAACAAACAAAAAACAACAACAACAACTACAAAACCCAACAAAACAAAAACCAAAAACAACAACAACAAAAAAAACACACACACAAAAAAAACAAAACCAAAACCAAAAACAAAAACCATGCTGCCCTAGGAAGCATTGAATAAATAGTTGTTAAAGCTTTGCCTGGCCATTTTTAGTTTTTTGTACATTTTTCAAAGTTTTTTGATAAGGAGTGCTATGAAACTCTCAATGATGTAGCTTAAGTCCTGAAAAGCTCCAATAATAATTGGAAAGGTGAACCAGAAAAACACCTAAAAACCTAACAATTAAATCAAACAAAGCACCGAATCTTTTAAATTCCTCATAACAAAAAAAAGGTTGGAATCTGGAAATAATTGTGTCAGAGACTTGGAGTGATGTGGGCTTGTTAAAAAAAATTATTAAAAATTGTATAATATTAGCACAGAAATAATGACAAAATGATAAATTTCATATCAATCTGAGGGACTCAATGTTTCCGTCTTTGAACTTTATTTACCTTAATTTTACCTAATTACCTGATTTTACCTTAATTTTGGTGTATTTTGCTTTCACACGTAATGATAAGTGGAAAAGAGAATGTTAGCCTAACTTTTTTTTTTTTTTTAATGATTCAATGGCACAATTTGTAATAATAAATGAGGTGGGGGTTTTATATATGTTTTCCTCACATTTTTATTACTTACCTCTAAGATAAATTGTGCTACTACATAGACAGAAATAGGGAAAGCATTAGCAACGGAAACTAAGAGAATTGTCACATACCACCCAGGTTTTGAGAATCCCACGTTCCCTTAACTGTTAATCATGTAACTTCAGCAAGAGAAAAAAGGTATGGGAAAAAATAACAGTGAAATAAAGCTTTTTTTTAATGTTAAAATGTGTCATAGAATCATAGAATCATAGAATAGATTGGGTTGGAAAAGACCTCCAAGATCATCAAGTCCAACCCCTGATCCAACTCCAATTACTATATCATGGCACTAAGGGCCACATCCAATCTCTGCTTAAAAACCTCCAAGGATGGTGAATCCACCACCTCTCTGGGTAGGCTGTTCCAATGCCTGATTACCCTCTCTGTAAAGAATTTCTTCCTAACATCTAACCTAAACCTCCCCTGGCAGAGCTTGAGCCCATGTCCCCTTGTCCTGTTGTCGGTTGCCTGGGAGAAGAGACCAACCCCCACCTGGCTATAACCTCCCTTCAGGTA